AGCCCAGAGTCCATTCTTGAAGGGAATCTAATCCCCAGAATTATAAAAGGAGCTTGGGAAAAACACAGAACGTACGCAACACTCATTCGATAGTCAAACTCAATTTTTTTATGAAATATTGACTTAAGCATTGAAGGGTCCACCTCCGGAGCTCCCCCTCTGGTCTCTGACTTCTTTTTAGCGTCACCGGTCCTCCAACAAGTTGACATGGAGGTTGGTACAAATTTTTCATAAACTGTATTTTAAAAAGTAAAGAAAAAAGGAAAAAAACACTTAACAAACCTTTATCAAATGTAACCTATGCCCCAAGCCATGATAAGTTTATCTTTCATAAATATCCTAATCTCGATGTGGATATGCCTTTAACTAGAACGGAGAGGGAATTAGTTGAGATACGCATAAACTAACCTGGAAACCTTTGATTGTTGAACAAATAGGTGGCATGTCACGGTTAGAATATGACCAACTGGGTCACAATAACTAGATGAGTAGGAATTGTGGAGAGAGAGAGGCTTGTACTAATTTAGTCCCAATAAAATAGTTCTTGCACATAGTATTTGATTGTTCCAATCAAAGTGTGTTTTTTTCTAATAGACAGGAAGTTCATTGCATTAAGACCACTTAAAAATATTCAACAATTTTGGGATGTAAGTTAATTTTTAATTTATTTATTTTTAGTTTAACGGTCAGGGGTGTCTGGATTTACTTATGTGTACCTCAACTAATCTCCTCTCCAGTTCGATCAAAGACAGACTATCCATGCCTAGAATAGGGTATTCATGAGGGATAAATCTCTCATGGCCTAGTCCTACAGAATTACTAAAATTCGAACTTATAACATTTGAATTTACAAATCGTTTGTATTACCATTTAAGCTACCCCTTGAGATTAAGTTATTTTGAATTTCATTTTGAGAAGTTAATGAAGCAAACTTGTAAATGAGTGTTTGCCTATTGAAAACTACAAAAAAGAAAAATCCACTTTTACCGTAAACATTAAAGAAATTTCCTAGAGACTAAAAAATTATATATTGAATTAGTATTAAATATTTATTTTCGCACAATTATTTTTTATAATAAAACTTGATCATAGGGGTATTGTATTCCTAAAATGTTTGTACAACGGAGCTTATATATGCTTGCATTTTTCTCCAATGATAAAATTTTAAAACACATGCATATTGCATTAGCGTAGGGTATTACGAAAGTCCTTTATGTTCTCCTTCATTATTAAGTAGCTACACATATCTGATGAATTATATATATGCATGAACACAAACACTTTTAACTAAAAGTGCAATTACATTATCATAAAAAAGTTTCCACAAAAGTTCAATAATCAAGTAATAGGAAGTAGTTATTCACCATGGAATCTAAATGGTTCTTTAAGATTCCAATAGCTATAGCCTTTTCATGTTTCTTAATATAAAGTGCTAAAGGATTAATTTTATATAAGGGCAAATGGCACTTTGCATTTCAAAAGATTAAAAAATTCTTAATTTACACCCTAAAAAATCAATTGTTTCAAATTGCACCATCAATTAAATTAATTGATAGCAATGTGACCCCAATCATAACGTTCGTTGTGATTTTCATTAAATTGACAGCTACATGAGACGTATGTGAAAAGAAGAAGGGTCATAATCTAACAAAAGTTATCACGTACATTTCATGTGGCCATCAATTTGACGAAGATCTCAATCCCAACCATAAAGTCCATTGCAATTTTTATTTGATTGACAGGTATGTGAGACACACGTGAAAAGGGAAAATGACATAATCTTAAAAAGTTATCACGTGTATCTAACGTGGCTGACAATTTGATAAAAAATGTAATGAACATTATGGTCTAGATCACATTGCTACTAATTTATTTAATTGAGGGTACAATTTAAAATAATTGATCTTTGAGAGTGTAAATTGAGAATTTTTAAATCTCTCGGGGTGCCAACTGCTATTTGCCCTTTATATAATCCCTTTGAATACAATACCAAGTCTAAGGGGAATCGGATATACATAGTTTCATTTCTTGTGTGAAAATATTGTTCAAATGAGTCAAATCTATGACATTCAAATTACAAAGAACTAACCATACCTCTACCTTGAGGCTTACTCTTAAGTGAATTATAGTAATTTAATTATTTTATAGCAGGAAAAAAATTCAAGTAATATAATGGTTTAGCCCTTTGAGCTTAGATTCAATTCAACATATAATGTCCACTTGATCAAAGGTCGATTGGGCCCACAACCATGTTATGTCATCTACCATAAAACACAGTCATGGGCTTAATGTTTGTCTAATTGTTGTTGACAACAAATCCATCATTTTAACCACTATGTGAAGTCAATTAACCAAACAAACTAATCAACCACTAAAGAATTAAGAAGCTTACACACAAGATTCTTTACGGCCTTTCTTCACTTTCCTTAATAGTTTATGTCTATAGATCTACTTGTGCTTATTTATAGTATGAATAAAGTAAAGTACTGATAAAGATAGTGCAACCAGTTGTGATGTAATACTATTCCAATATGCTGCCCATCAAATAACCTCAAAAACAAAAAAATAATTTGCAACCCCCCCCCCCCCCCCAAACACACACACACACACACACAAAAACAAAGAAAAAAATAAATGATACAATTGGGATTTAGATTCTCTCAATCTCAAATTTCATTAATTTCAATCAAGTTTTAGCATTTACCATTAAATTAATGTAATGCTTATGAAATTAAAATCCAAATGTCTTTTTTTGCGCAAAATAATGTAGGGACTATTTTACTTTAATCTAAAGTAAAAGATTATTAATATTGTATTATTATTTAAAAGAATGCACTAACACATCATTCTGCGTGACAATTCTCACGAATTTTTTTTTTGTGAAGTATGTTTTAGTCAAAATTGGGTGTTAGTGAGTCCCTTTGAATCATAAGTGAGATCAATTGAATTTAACATTGGATGAGGGAATATAACCAAAAATGGACAACTCGTTTCTTTATTTTAACGTGATACTCTCTACAATTTAGTTTTTGACCTGGCTAAAAAAAATTAATTTTAGAATTAATTTGTTGAAAATATTAGATTGTGGGTATTATATTTGACGTGAATAATATTATATTTATGGAGTTTTGAAGGTTTTTTTAACATTTTATTGAAAATACGATGATGTATATTGTTTTATGGGTTATGTAGTCAACTTTTTTTTTAAGTTTATAAAAAATGATATTTATAATAGGGAATAGATAATTAAAAGAGATGTTAGAGATAATTTAAAGATTTAAATATATAAAATAAAATAATAGTTTAAATAAAAAATTATGAAATAATAGAATAATTTTTATAATTTTTTATAAAGATAAAATAAAGAATTAAAATTTTTTCATATTAGTTTTTGAATAATACTAGATGGACTTAAAAATTAGATTTAAAAAATTAGACTCGATAATTTCAACTATTGAATCGGTAGTAGGTTTCAATAAATGTTAGGACTCGTAATAAAATTAATGGTTAAAATTATCAAATTTAATTTTTAAATTTAATTTTTAAATCCATATATCATTTGACTTAGTTTTTATTAGTGTATTGTGCTCTTAGCTTTTATTAGTATATTGTGCTTTGCAACGGGTTCTGCAACAATAATATTAACTCTCCTGTATCGCGCGTTTTCTGCACTCACCGTCCAAATACATATCGTAAAAGGCGGGGAGCAACCTCGTCATCTTCCCCATTTAAAAATCAATCTTTCTCTCCCCTCCCCCTTTCTCTCTCTCCAGTGGAACTTTATTATATTGCATTGATTCTATTATATATATTGATTGAATGAATCATTAATTCATTTGTACATATGCACAGAGGGGAGTTCATCTGAAGGAAACAGAAGAGAGTGAAGAGTCCCAAAGGTTGCAGAAAAAGAGACTGAATCTATACCAAAAACAAGTGTTTATGTGTGTGTGAGAGAGAGAGAGAGACAGAGAGAGAGGGAATTGAAATATAAAAACTTCTAAACACGAAAGGCCATCCATTTCAGTAATATTTTTGACATCTAATGCACATGGCTTCGCGTTTTTCTCTTCCTCTCCGCATTTTATTTTTCCTTCCCACATGCTCTCTCTCTCTCTCTCTCTCTGCGTGTGTGTGTGCATTCTCCATAGGCTCCAAGACTTAGCTATTATTTTTGTCATTGACTGAGCACTTTCAAGAGATTCTTTCAGATCTACAGTGAAAGGCCAAGGCTAAACCCAACTCTTTTGTTCTTCAGACAGTGTCAAAATGTTATTCGATCAAAAGGTAGGATTTTTTGGGCTTTTGAATTGTTTTTTCTTCCTGGGTTTCTGTAATTTGGCTGAATGTTTTGTTCTGCAATGCATGTGTTGGTCAATTGTATCAGATTGTTTGAATTTTTGTTGTGTTTTGACTTGTTGTCTTTCATGGATTTGTGATTCATTGAGTTGAAAACATGCTTGATTTCAATCTTTTTCTGTTGAATTTTTATTCTCTCTCTAATCTTTGTTGAGTACATTCATGTTGATGAATTTCATACATTGGCTTTGTGTTGAACATGGGGTAGTTTTAAGATTTTGCAGTCTTTCAAAATCTTCCTGAATTATTGTTTATGTCATTTTCGGCACCAAACATTTTCCAACTTTTAAGTTGAATGTACTGGGGCAAAGGGTATAACAAAATGGCAAGAGTTCTGAAGTTCTTGTTTAATAGAATGGTTTTGGTGAATTTTGTCATTTAGTCCCAATTGAAAAGATTAGACTAGCTATTTGGTCCTCTTCATTTTCTTTGGAACTTTGTCAAGTCTTGAGTTTTAGTGGTTATAAATTAAATCGATTTTGTTTTTCTACGCCAATTGTGAAGTCAGAAAGATGAATTTGGATATCACCCATGTGAATCCGACATCTGAGTATGTAAAATTTTAATTGTAGCATCTTTAATGTTTTTTGGATTTCATTAAATCTCAGTCTTGGCGTTTCATATCTTTATTCTTTATATGGGGAATGGTTAAAGGGGTGTTAGTGGGCATCAGTTAGCATGCATTGTCATTTAATGTAATAATTAGGTGCTCTATGTGTTTTACCCAATTACCCTTCCATACCATCCATGCCTACATACATATACAGGCATATGCAAATGTATATTTTTCGTGATTACTATTGTTTGATGAATAATGCTACTTTATTGTTGCTGGTTTATTCACTTTTATTCGGGTGGTTGTTACCATTTAGCTGCTTTTCAGAAATACTGTTCAAGGCATCCTAAGGCATGCTGTTCTTCCCTTTTGTGCAAGGCCTTGTGTTGGCATGGTGAATTCTTGTTCCTTAGGAGGCTTGGATTTCATGTAGGATTGTCAAGTAAATCATTGAAGATACTTAAGCTGAAGTATTTTAAAACACACATTTCCATCCTTTTTTGGTTTCTATTTCTTTCTTTATGTGGTACCCAAATTTTGCAATTCTCCGTTTGCATGGTCAACTTCATTGAGTTTGTTAGTAGAAGAATTTGAAATGAGGGCGCTTTTCTGTACTATTATCTGATGCAGACCTCAATTTGATCTGGAACCTTCTTTCGGTTAGAAGATCAAGTGAACTGCTAAGGGTTCCAAATTTTCGTCATTTTTTTGCTAACTCTGTCTTCTGGAGATCAAGTGCTACATGTTATTAATGTCCATTCACCTTTGATGCACATATGCAAGCAAGAAGCACGTTTTACTTGCAATTTAGATCATCTCCAGTGTTGTGCGCTTACGTTGGATTTGATATCTAAGTAATATAAATGGTCTGTGAGATGGAGAATGACCATATCGACGAAATGGACATTGAAGTCCTTTCTTCAATGTGGCCTGAAGATATGAACGAAGCTGGAAAGCAATTTAACATAGAAAAACCAGGAGTTGATCAAGATATGTTGGAGGATATTACTCTCATGGAGGAGCCTACCATAGTTGATTTCAAGCGTCTCTTAGAGCTAACCAACTACAGTGAGAAGGGCTCCTCTCAGTTGGCTTATCTTGTCAAAAACTGGGAATATAAGCAAGCCAATGCTGTACGACTTCTTAGAGAAGAGCTGGACCACCTTAACAGACAACAGCAAGAAGTTGAGCTCAAGAAATTGGAGATATTGGAGGAGCATCGTTTTGAGGAAGAAGGATACGGTGGCGATAAGCGTCCAATTTCTGTTATGGACGAAATTTATGATATATGGCAAGATGTTCCTCGCAGGAGAAATGATGTTGTAGTTCAAGATAAGAGACTGGAAATAGATGCCGAGTATGACACTGTTGTATACTGGAAGCAGCATGCTATGCGGTTAGAGAAACTATTGGAGGCAAGCATCCAGCGAGAGCAGGTACTGCTTGAGAAATTGCAGGAAAGCATAGAAAATCTGGAAAGGCAGTCGTCACCAGTGGAGGAATTGTCCCAGATTTTGAAACGAGCCGATAATTTCTTACATTTTGTTCTTCAAAATGCACCAGTTGTTATCGGCCATCAGGTAATTTTGGACAGATGTGGTTTATGTCTACAGCTTGCTACTTTGTCCTAATGTTAATAATTTCTTGAAGTGTCCTGATTCACTTTTTTTGCGACACACTTGTCAGGTTAATCTCCTTCCTTTTCGTTTGTGATTTTTGGTTTCTCCAAACTGCATTTTTCATTTTCTGGACAAAGTTAGTGTCAAGGTTAATGATAACATAAGTTATAGATTTCTCTGAGAGGGAAATGTGTATACAAAGTTGATCATACTGGTGACTACTTTTTTGACAAGAAATGGAACTGTTTGGCATATTACAGTATTTTGCCAATGGTTAGTGCCACACTGTGTAATGTGCTCCAGTTTTTTTATGTGTGGCCTTAATGTCATGTTGCAGAAACAAATTCTGAAGGCCTAGGTCATTAACTATTTGAGTCCTGATAGGATCCAGATTTATTGATTATTAACCATATGCTCCAAATAAATGCAACCAAGTACCCTTCTAATAGGATATTTGCCATTTCTTGAAACATTCGTCATGTTATCCATAATATGACTTGTATTGCATAAATATGATTTAAATATAACTACTTATCACAATCTCCTGTAAATACATTTGTAATATGTGTGCCGAGTTCCTTATTTTTTACCTTAAGTTTAGGCCTAGTGATATTCCATCAGTTAAAAGCTCCTTATCAACCTGTAATGTTGTTTTTGACAGTTGCTGTAGCCAAGTCCACAGTGAGAGTGATAGTCTCTCTAATGGGGGCTTGGCTTTGCTTTTTGAAACTTTTCTTTACTGAAGCTACAAGTGATTAGTTTTCCACCTCCTCCGAGCTTCTTTATTGTGAATCCTATTATTACTCTAAAGATTTCATGTTAATCACCACTTTCCAGACTTTTGTAGTGATTGTGAACATATTATGTGAGTCAGTTGAGTTACATGACATGATCTTCTCATAAGCATAAATTGCAACTTAGCATATCTTTCAACATCTTTGAACATGAATGTGAATCAATGATTATAGTTCATTTGGTTTTTAATGTGCTTAAATTAACTAACTGTTATGATATGCTGTGACTTACATATTGAAATTGTATCAGTATCTATGATTTATGGAGCAATTTACGCATCGAATATCTGTTCTAGCAAATTTTGTAATACTTTGTGTTTTCCTCTAAATACTTGATAAAAACAGATGGAAAAACAGTCACTAAAAGTTGAATGATGGTAGCTGATTCATATCAATGTTACAAGTTCTTCTTCCTCTTAATTAATGATGGCTCAAGATCCTGTTCTCTGTTGGTTCACTATCTAGGCCATTTCTTTTTTTTAAAACACATTTTATTTTGGTGTAGTTCTTCTCTTTTCAGTTGTTTCGTTTTTAATTGTCTTATTTATCTTGGTCTAAAATTATGTCCTGGCCTAATCTTTCCATGCCTTTTTGTTAAGTTTAGTGCTGCTTCTTTTTATTATTTGTGACCTTGTTCTTTATTCTTCATCACGGGCATATTGTGGTTTTAAGGGACTGTTCATTATTTTTCCTTTCAGGATAAAGATCTTCGCTATCGCTTCATCTATAATCATTTCCCGAGTTTGCGAGAGGAGGTAATAGCCTGACAACATTCTCCCTCTTTAAACAGTATTTTTCTTCTACTGACATAGGAACTCCTCAAATTCTCTATTTTTTCAGGACATCATAGGAAAAACAGATGTGGAAATTTTCAGGGGTGCTGGTGTCAAGGAATCCGAAGATTTCAAAAGAGAAGTTCTAGAGCGAGGATCTCCTGCAAAAAGAGAAATTACGTTTGAGACAGAGTTATTTGGGTCAAAGACATTCCTTATATACGTGGAACCTGTGTTCAGCAAGGCAGGAGATAAAATCGGTGTTAATTATATGGGAATGGAAGTAACTGATCAGGTAGACTCACTTTTACCATTCATCTTCTCTTGATAGGTTCTTGGTCTTTCACATAATGTTGGTGTTGGGAGTGCTTGCTTATTTTGCTGTATTATGACTGGATAAGTGACTCCGACCTTGAAAAGTTGATCGCAAACAGTTTTTTTTTTTTTTGTGAGATTTAATAGTGTGGGGTTTACAGGATCTGAGAAGAAATTTTAATTTATTTGATGATATATCAGTAACAATGTCCGGGAAGTAGTTAATTTTTGAGATACATATGCCTCAGATCATTAAATTGATTTTGTTCCATGTTTAGATTCGATGTTTAGTTTAATCCAGACTAAAGAGTTTTTTTTCAATGTCCAAAGCCTGTGCCCTGCATAATTCCATGATTTCAACATTTCACAAAGAGTAATCAACCAAAGTCGATAAATTTTCTAATACATCATATGTAGAAGATGCAGAACCAGATGAAATAATATGTTGCTTTATATCGTTGTAGACTCAATGAGAGTTTCCAAAATCTTGAGCTGGAATGTACTGGTTTGCTGACTTGGTTCTCCTGATTTAATATCAGCATTTGATCTGAGTGCCTGCAGAATCCTTCTTCATCTAGTTGCTCGATATTTAGCCTGTGTTAGTTCATATTTTTTTGAAACAATATCAAGATGGGACTCACACTTCTTGGCCTCATGTGGACCTTATGGAGGGGATTGAGCTCGGTACTGGTCCTCTGAGCACTTAGAGCAGGAGCTTCCTTGAAATATGCTCTATGCTCAGATTTCTGTAGTGGAGTCTTCTCTCTTTTTGATCAAAGAGTTGTTCTCTGTGTCTAGAGGTTCTTTTGTTGATCTCTTAGATGGTGTGTTCAGATATATTTTGTTAGCTCTTTTGTTTTTATGGCCCACATGTCGATGGGTTGTGCCCCTGTTTTGGAGCTTCTTAATTATTGTTTCATTGTCGCTTTTTCTTTAGCTAACAAATAATTTTTGTAGTATGGTAAAATGGCTGCAAAGCTATACCGTGTTCAATTTTTTGTTGAGTTCATCTTAGCTAGTATCCAGGAAAAATTCCTTTCATGTCTGTGTTTGTGATCTCATTCTATACGTTGTGCAAATTTTTGTTCGGTTGACTTTGATCTAAAGAAATCCATCATTGTATAGACATAGATGTTTGTCCTCTTTGATGCTCTCAAAGCTTTCTCAATTCCTTTTAAAAATTTGTAGCACATCTTTTAGTTCCCTTACCTTTCCCCAACAGAAATGAGGGAAATATGTTTTTCTTATAGACCACGTGTATTTCTTCTTGCTTTACTCATTAAATTACGTGTTTCAAAATGGAAAAAGGTCATCAGAACCTTAGGTTTATGAAAGCCGCTGATTTACTTTGCTTCTTATTGGTGTTGGACAACAGGTGAGAAAAAGAGAAAAGATGGCAAAGCTTCGAGAAGAGATTGCTGTACAAAAGGCCAAGGAGACAGAGCTGAACAAAACGATTCATATAACAGGTTTATCACATAAAGCTAATATGAGTTATTGGTTTTTCTTGAATCAGCTTTAAGCACAGATTGTTTAATCTTACCTATTTGTTCTTCTTACAGAGGAAACTATGCGGGCCAAACAAATGCTAGCGACCATGTCTCATGAGATAAGATCTCCTTTATCAGGTGTTGTAAGCATGGCTGAGATTCTTGCCACCACAAATCTTGACAAGGAGCAGCGACAGCTGCTGAAAGTCATGTTATCTTCTGGTGACTTGGTCCTTCAACTTATAAATGACATCCTCGACCTTTCCAAGGTTGAGTCAGGTTTGAAGTTCATCCTTCTCTTGATGGTATAATAAAACAATGAAGCATTTCATTCTATTTTAGAATCAGGCTGGAATTTTTTCAATTTTTTAATCTAGCTCTACCTCGTATTCTGCTATGATGAACATGAACTCCAAGCAGGCTGATGTCAGTAGAAATTTATTTCACAGGAATTTACAAAGCTTTACTTTTCTCCGATTTTTTCTTTAGGAGTCATGAAGTTGGAAGCTACAAAATTCAGACCCAGAGAGGTAGTAAAGCATGTCCTTCAGACTGCTGCAGCATCATTACAAAAGATGCTAACCTTGGAAGGACACATAGCAAATGATGTTCCTGTGGAGGTGAGAGCCTTACTTTGTCATTATCTACTCTAATAGCTTAAGATGGTGAAGAGAGGCTTAGCTTAGTAAGGTTAACTATTGAGATTTCCCTCCCGTGACCTGGTTTTTCTTCCTCATTGGCTACGCTTGTACATGTATTATGGATATAAGATGTCAGGATTTAATCCGGATCAAGGATTAAAATTTCGTCTCGTTACCGGAACAACCAAAACGTTTTGATTACCATGGAACCGAAATGGAATAATGATTGAATATATAAATTCCTATAGTAAAATTCTTATGTTTCGAAGTGTTCCGGATGTTTCGGCCAATGTTTTCAAAAAAAAAAAATTTAAATATTTTCTTTGTTTTTCTATTGTTTCCAAAGAGTTTTGGAACATTTTCCTTTCTGAGCTGACTAAAATTGTTAGGTCTAGGACCATAGGTTGGCAATTTCATGGCTTGTATTGTGACAAAGGGTTAAATTATGAAACATAGAGAAGAAGAAAGTAGAGAGAAAAAGAATATGTTTATGACAATAGTGAGAGTTAATGAGAGAATTACATTATCTCCCTTTGCCTCATGTATTTATAATAATAAGGCTCAAAGTATATAAATACTCCACATAAACATCTCTTAACACTCCCCCTTAAGTTAGAGTATAGATATCTCTCATGCCCACCTTACAAACAATAGGATGAAAAACTTTATTACTAAGTCCTTTGGTGAAAACATCTGCCAATTGATCTATTGATCTCACAAATAGCATACAGATAACTCTCTTATTTGGTTTCTCTTTGATTAAACGTCTGCCAATCTCAATATGTTTAGTTCTGTCATGCTAAACTAGATTATGTGCAATATCAATAGCATCCTTATTGTCACAATACAACTTCATAGGCTTATCAACATAAATTCCTAGATCTTGCATCAAACTCTAAAGAGACATAAGCTCATAAACACCATGAGCCACATCTCTATATTCTGTGTCAGCACCACTAACTGTTTTTTTACTACGCTATGTGACCATATTCCCTCTTATAAATGTACAGTATCCAGATGTAGATCACCTTTTATCAATTGAACCTGCCTAATCAGCATTATTGAATGCCTCCAATCTCAAGTGACCATCGTTAGAGAATAACATGCCTTTTCGTGGAGCGGATTTAAGATACCTCAAAATTGTGTAAGCAGTATCTAGATACACTATACAAGGGTTGTGTCTAAACTGGCTAACAACTCCTACTGTATAAGCAATATGTGGTTGAGTATGAATTAGGTATATTAATCTTCTTGCAAGTTGTTGGTACCTCTCTTTATCCACATGGTCACCTATAGGGCTATACCACTGCTTAGCTTATGATTAGCCTTAATTGGTGTATCTGCAGGTCTACAACCCATCATGCCAGTCTCCTTAAATAGGTCAAGAACATACTTCGTCTGAGATATATAGATGCCCTTATGGAATCTAGCAACCTTAATCCCTAAAAATTACTTCAATGGACTTAAGTCTTTGATCTCAAATTCTTTTGTTAGGTGTAATTTCAAGTGAGACATCTCCTTCACATCGTTGTCCGTAACCACTATTTAATCCACATAAACAATAAGAACAATAATCTTATCACCATTATGTTTAACAAACATAGTTTGGTTTGCATTACTTTGCTTTTATCCAAACCCCAACATTGCTTTGAGAATTCGCCCAAACCAAGCTTCAAGAGACTATTTCAAGCCACAAAGTACTTTCCTCAACCTACAAACTTTTCCAACAGTAGAATGAGAAGAAATCCCGGGTGGAATGTCCATATAAACCTTTTCCTTCAAGTCCCCATGAAGGAATGCATTTTTTGCATATAGTTGCTGTGAGAGCCAACGTAGATTAGCAGTACAAGAAAGAAGAGTGCAAATAGAATTCATCTTTGCAACAGGGGTAAAGGTCTCCCGGTAATTAATGCCATAAGTTTGAGTATAACCTTTAGCAACCAACCTCGCTTTATATCTTTCAACGACTTCATCTATTTTACAGCATACAGGTCTCTTCCCTGCTGAAAGTGAAGTTAATTCCCGAAGTGTTGTTCTTGTTTAGAGCTTTCATTTTCTATACCATAGTTTCTTTCCGCTTAGGATCTACAAGAGCTTTCTGCCAATTTGTGAAATAGTGACGGAAGACAAAGACGAAACAAAGGTAAAATACGAAGAAGACAGAGTTATAAGAAACATAGCTAGAAATGGGGTGTTGAGTGCAAGATCTCACACCCTTTCTAAGAGCAACAAGAAGAGAAGAATTATCAACCTCTATAACAATAAGAGATGGAGACTTATCTTTTGAAACTTCCGAGAGAGAATCTAAACAATAGGAGGTGGCACATGGATGGTCTGCTCTGTCGGATGCCGAATAGGTCTTAAGATCTGGTCTATCTAACCGTTCACTAGTATTATATTATTCTTTAGTACACTTGTCTTTCTCTCCCTCACCACAAATAATCTCTCTCAACGAAGGGAAAAATATGAGAGCTCCTCTTGTGGATCACATAGTAATCTCTCTTCCTCATTAGCAATCTCCCCTTGAACAGAGGACTGAGACAAACCAAAGTAGGGTTTGGTCTCACAAAATGTGACATCCATTCTAACATACTCCTTGTGAGACTGAGAATTATAACATTTGTAACCCTTCTAAGTAAGAGAGTATCTAACAAAAACACATTGCATAACCTTACCTTAAACTGAAGAACACAAGAGCGCATGTGATTAATAAGATATGCAACAGTTGAATAACATCCCCTAAAAAAGTTGTGGGAACATTCATAGTGAACAGAAGAGCACGTGTAGTCTCAAGAAGATGAGTATTTTTTGTGCTCAACAGCCCCATTCTGTTTAGGAGTGTCTATATAAACTCGTTTGATAAAGAATACCATGCTTTTCAAGGTATGGTTGAAATTCACTATCAATGTATTCGGTTCTATTATCACTCCTAAGAGTTTTAATGGTGGTATCAAACTGGTTAGTCACCATCTTATAAAAAATTTTAAAGCAAGAAAAGACAGCATTCTTGGTTCGAAGTAAATACATGAATGTAACAAACCAACGATTATCAGAACGAGAAACAACTTGAGAGGGACCCAACGCATCAGAATGAATAAGCAAGAAAAATTATTTCTTCTATTAAATGAAGGATAACATGAACGTTTATGCTCTGAAAACTCAAACATCACAAACAAACTACTTCTATGACATGATTTAGCTAAAATAGGAAAAAGTTTATTTGGAATAAGAAAAGAGGGACGTCCTATACGGCGGTGCCACTAAAGCAAGAGAGGAATAGAAGATGCAGTATCCACTTGTAGAGGCTGACCAAACGGTAATGAAGATGAAGAGACAGTATCCAATAAATATAAGCCACCATGTGCTCTACCACTGCCAATCATTTTTTCCGTCACCAATTCTTGAAACACACAATGAGTAGGAAACAATGTGATAGAATAATTTAGGACTTAGTAAGACTATTGACCGAAAGTAAATTAGTAGAGAAATTTAGAACATGAAGAATAGATGAATGGGAAATAGAGGGAGAACACTGTATAAAACTTTTTCTAGAAATAGAGGATAAAGAACCATTAGCAACTCTTACTTTATCCTTACCAGAACAAGGAGAGTAAGAACGAAATAGATTAGAGGAATTTTTCATATGGTCAATAGCTCCATAATCACTTATCCAAGGAGACAAAGAAACTCCGAGAGCATATACTAGACTCGACTACTTGTGTGAGCAAACTCAGAGGAAATTGATGTCGTGGGAGAAACTATGGTAGATGAAGTGTCAACAGCCATCAGACGCCTGAGAGTGTGCATTTCATTTTGGGAGAGAGCACCAGTATCAATAGAAAGGCTCAAGAAAATCTTACAAATATGAGTCTGAGATCGCATAGTACTACCACAGCTATCTCCCTGGCCTCGGGTAGAATGACCATGCAACTTCTAGCAGTGCTCTTAGTAGGGTGTTTTTTTCCCACAGTAATCATATTTCAACATATCACGATCACCAACACCACTCTTTCCACTAGTCTTGGGCTGACTGACCTTATCATCCCATGAAGTAGGGGTAATAAGTAAAACATAATGATTCTGATTAGGAGTGTACATCATAGCACTACATTGACTTTCTTCTTGCTTAACACAGGCATACGCCTCTCTCAAGGTGAGAAAAGAGATCAACATAAGACCGAAACACGAATATGATTATACTCCATGTTAAAGCCAGCAAGAAAATCATATTCCCAATCTTTCTCCATCATTTGTTGAAAGGCTACTGTATCCATAGTACATTCAGCTTGAAAACTCTGATAATACTCAAGTTCTTATCACAAACTACTCAGCTCAACATAATACCCAGCAAGGGATTTATCCTCTTCCTTAGTTCATAGGCCAGTGCACCATTAACCTTATGTGGGTATGTCTGTCTAGCTACATAGTAAATCTTCTGTGCCGTGTCCATCAAAAGAAGGTGCGACTAATATATGGTTACATTGAGTTAATCAACCAAGTCATGACAAGAGCATTCTCCTATCAGCATTGGTCCCTTGCCGGTTCATTTGTCATAGGATCCTTGAGAGTTCCTGTGATATAACCAGTTAGGTCACGTGTAGTAATAGCCAACTTGCAAGATCGTGACTAGAGTAGATGGTTGGTGCCATCTAACTTAACCAGACTAATTTGAAAGGATAGGTGATAGGAATCGATTTATATTTCGTTATGCGTAGGCGTAGGGATTAGGAGTTATTTGTCATTTTACTTTTCAGGGGTTTAGTTGTCATTATGGCCATTTATTTCTTTTAGAGTTCTTTTAGGATTTGTGGTCTCCCTATAGATATGGTATTTGTTTTGGTAGACTTCGATTATTATTGATTATTGATATTGAATCTTTCTTCCTCAAATTCTCTTTGTTGTCATCCCTTTTTTCTTCTTTTTTCATTCCCTTCTCATTCCTAATTCTTTCTTAATACGATCTACATCAATTTAGTATTAGAGCTCAACTTCGATTCGTACAAATCAAAAAA